TCAACGTTTGGAACGGAATCGCAGATGTCATCGACGTAGCTATTCTCGAGAAGGGTTTTTGCGGCTTCCGGATTGGTTTCTCTTGCTTCTTCTGCTGTTTTACGGAGTGCAATCTGAGCCATAGCCGGTGCTGGCTTGTCGCCGAATGTAAGTACGATCTCCGCGTAAACGTCAGGTTCTCTGTCCGTTTCTAGGTTCCTCCATAGAAACCGATGTACGTCTTGGTCTTCTTTAGGAATCAACACTCGATGATACATTTTAGAAATGTCTCCACTGATTGCAACTTCATTTTCTCTGAATCTTAACACAACACCGAATAAGTTATTTAGCAAGTCCGGTCCTTTGAACCAGTAATCATTGAGCTTGTGTCCTTGGTAACTAGCTGACGAGTTAAACACGATACGAACGGGTGTACTTTTCTTCTCCGGTCTTACTACCTCGTGATGAGCGATGTAATGTACTGGACCTTTGTGGTTTGTTATTTCTTCCTTCGATAACTTTCTAGCAAAGTTCAACTCAGTCATTTCGGTTATCTGCTTGTTATACTCTTTGGCGCTGGCGGGATCTTTCATAAGGCGGCGTTCGGTGGCTTCTAGTTTCTTGAGTGCCTGGCTTCGGTTGTCTGGTAGCAAGTTTTTGTCCCTTTTCCATGGATATGAAACCATCCACTGATTTCCAACTCTTTCACACGAATCCTCAATGATCTTCTTTTCGCGTAGTTCGATTGGACTAAGCTTTTCGGGATTGCACTTACATGACTTCGTAGTAACACCCATTGCTTCCGTTGTCCAGAAGTCTGTCATGTCTACTGGATTTGTAAGCTGGACGTGCAACACTTTGTTAACTCTTCTTTGATGTCCACTTGTTGCACCGAACACGACCCAACCGAGGGGTGACCGACGAGCGACTAGATTTTCAGCTTCCTTTGTCTCACCGGTATGCATCTTGGCATGATTAATTCCAATAAGTATGTCTATTGGACCGTTTCCTCGAACAATCTTTCTTCCTTTGAGACCCAGTTTCTCACTGACTTTACCAACATCAACTGAGGCGACATTGTCACTAATGGACGGTATTCCAATAGCAGTAATATGATGAACACTATTGTTCTCGAGTGACAGTAAACTAACTTCGTATGGATCTCCTCTTCTTCACCTCCGACTTTAGTGATGGTTACATCCGCATCCTTTCCTTTCAACCTTAAATCTTTGGCAACCGAGTTTCGAATCAGGCTTACTTGTGCGCCAGAGTCCAATAAGATGTTAGCTTTCCTTCGCTTTCCTTCTTGACCGAGAACTTCCGCTTGAATAACTGGGAGCATACTTTCTTTGCCGTTGTTGACTGAAGCAACTCCAACTTGACTGGGTGGGCTGGATTCATGCAGCAGGGGGTGGTGGTATGACTTGCATTGTTGACCGTTTACTTTGCCTGTACACTGGCGTCTTCGTGAGCATGTAGCTGCTTTATGATTCTTGCTGGTTTTCTTCAAACATGAGAAGCAAGCACGATTTTCTCTTATCAGCTTCATTCGGTTCTCTGGACTCATACCTTCTAGCTTCGAACATTGATCGACCCAGTGCGTTGAGGTCTTGCACAACCAACACTTGTGCCTTTCGTGTTCTTCATGCCCGACATGGTTGACGTTCCATCTTGTTCTACCTTGGTTTCGCAGAGGGGCTGATGCTCTCATGCGGGACTTCATTTCTGTTGTCATCCACTTCATAATGTTTTCCAGTGTGGCTTCCTTTTTCTCTCTTTCGAGATCTCGTGCCCAAACCTTGCGATCATCACTTGACATTTTTTGCTCGATTAAAGCTAACATATGATTATTGTTCATATCGTTGGGGCGACCGACTTCTTTAAGTGTGTTGTAACTTCTGTTAACTAGGTGGACCAGTTCACAAAACCGAGCGTCTTCGCCATCCTGAAGTGCTTTGAACTTGGATATGTCTTGCGTAATTGTGTCTGCTATGAATCGTGGATCTCCATAAATTGAGTCGAGATACTCCCATGCGGCTTTGTAATCACATCCTATGCCCTTAATCAGTTCTAGTGGTTTTCCTTGAAGACTTGCCCGTAGTATTGTTATTGCATCTCTGTCGCTGTACTGTGATTCAACAACATGCTTGAAATCACCCCGAAATATTACGTAGTCTCTTACATCTCCACTGAACTTCGGTAATTTCGGCTTTTCAACTTTGAACGCACACGATTTAACTTCCTTGTTACTGGTTGGACTCTCTGCATTATTATCCATTTGCTGTACTGCCGGTTGGGGTGTCAATTCCTGAACTGTTTGTTCTGTTTCTTCGGTAAGTTCTACATCTTGAGAATTGCTATCTGTGTTTTGTTCTGGTATTTGATTCTCTATAATATCTGTGTTGGTATTTTCTCCGTTATTTTCTTGGGTTTCCTGTGTTTTCTTAGCTATATCATTTTCTGCGCACGTGTCTTGGGTGACCTGTTCCTGTTTTGATTTCAAAATATAATCTTTCGCTCTGAATTTCAAAATTAATGTTTTCTCGCGGCAATCTTCGATCCATTTTTCTTCCTTATCAAATTCTTCGTCATCGACCTTTTCTACTAAAGCCTCATGCTTTTCTACGACAGTTTTATAGTCTATTTCTACTAGTTCTAGCGCTTCTGTTATCTCTTCAACAGGCCGGTTGTTTTCAATCATGCTGTATAAATTATTACTGCGACGTGTTAGCGAACTTTTCGCGTTTCTTCTGGCCTTTTTCGCATCCATTTTACAGTGAAACTTTATCAGCCTTTGCTGTGAACCTTTGGGACTCCAGATATAAACACAGAAATCGAATTTATGGTCCGTTGGGTTCGACAGAACTCAATATATTACCGACAAAGACCCGCGAATCGTATAGTCAATTGAACGTATTAAATATGTCAATAATTTTATTCGATCTAAAAGTATAAAAATATAAAACTAATGTAAGTAAAGTATAAATGGTACATACGTGTTCTTTCTCAGTAACTTACTTCTTGGCGAGTCTTTGAACAATCCTCTTTAACAACAAATAATTCGTCCGATATATCTAGCGTGTCCGATATAGTTTCAAGTCGCTATTACAAACCTTATAACACATGTTTTATTTCCCGCGTCTTAGCATAATTAAGAATGCTAATCTGAATATATTACATAAATAAATATACATTACGTCACTGTTCGCAACACTCATGCAGGGAGCAATGCCACTTATGGTAATTAAACTATGTACAGTACACATGGAAAGAAAGTGACTGATTGACCCAGTGAGTACTCGACAACACCAGAGCGACAACACTGTGACAAGAAAAATCATCTCGTTATAGCAATATACCAGGGTTTCCGCTGCACAAATATAATGTACATAACTGCAAATTTCATTCTCATATGAAATTGTGCAAACACACACACACACACACACACAAGTAAATCTTTGAACAAAGAAAATGTACTAACTTAAACATATTTTACAAAAATTATGAAAGCAAGGCAAGCTTCTTGGATCATTCAAAGGTTCCAAACACATTGTACATGTAAGTAGATCTTTGATCTCATCAACAGGAACACTGTCTGATGAAACATTTGCCATTTCGATTTCAAAAATATTTCTTCCTTCACAATTAATTTAGATAACAAATTTGTGCCTTCTTAATAATTGCAAAGAAATATTACCATAAAATCCTGGTAGAAAAACTGACAAAGTGAAAGTTTGCCTTCGTTGAAAATTTCGAAATTCCTGGATGTGTTATTCTTGGAATCCTGAATATTTCTAACATTCTCGCCCGCAATCAGGCAGAGACCTGCATGAAACATTACTGGAATGACATGTGCAGTGTTTATGATTAATGCACCAATTCGTTATATTAAGCAAATATTCTATTAAAGACAATTAAGAAAACAACTATGACACACACAATGTTGTGGGAGAAGGGTTGTCCAGGAGAAATGCTCCAATTATACTTTAAACTGTGGCCAAAGTGTCGCCCCACAGACTCACTATTACAGCAATATGATTATATAATTATCGTCCTCAGGGGGTCGCAACCTCGTACCCAGGGTATTTGCTCTTGGGGAGCGAAATACCCTGGTATGGGCTGGTCACGTGACCCGCGGATTTTGCGTAAAATGGCGTATTGTTTACTAGGGTCGGGGGAGTGAGTATATATTGTCACAATTAATTAGATCGCTCTATAAATATAAACAATATCCATTGAATCTTCAAAGAAATCGTGAAAAGAACTGCAATTAAAAATTAATATTTATCGTGATGTGACTTTCTACTCTATAATCTAGTGTCGAGTTACAATTCAAGCAAGTTGGATCAGATTTCAATTATAGACTTGTCACTGAGAAAGCACGCGTGGACGGCGTGGCAATATAAAGCAGTACAAGAAAATATATACATCTAGACCGAACAATGTGGTTATTCATTTGTTTAACTAATAGTAAAGTATATCTAGATACTCGAACCAAAAGAATTTATTTATTGATGAGATGTGGCATGGAATTGCAACAAAATAGCGAGTCGTTTGATTTCCGAAATGTCGGCGCCAAACCCGCCAATTAGCCAAGACGCTAACTGTATCCAGATTGTTGACTATAAAAGCTTATAAAACTTCCTGCATTGGCCCTTGGCATTGCTGAAACTCAACAATCATGGTATATGTTAAAGTCTAGCTGTCTGTTGAAAATCTACAGTATTAAAATCATACATCAAAGACAAGTCAAACGACAGTATACTAGCCTATATTATGTCTTTCAATGGGCACTTTATATTAATAGTAGTGTTTACAACATTTATAAATTTTATAAACAGCTTTCGTTTTGACACAACTCACACAAGTTTAAATTTTTTGCTTTATATATATTCTTAATAATACAAGTGAGATTTAAATGTTTTGCTTTGTGGAATAGAATACCGTTATTTTTTAATGGACCGCTTGTATCGTCTTTATCAGTCATATCCAGGATTGCTTGTAAATGCATATATCACTATGACACTATCAAATAAATATACAAATATATTTGAGAGCCTTGTTTTTTAGAGCATATTAATGACTAATGAACTAGAAATAAACAGATGATTCACAATGAAAACTTTAAAAATGTTAGTAGAAGTAGAAAACTCGAAAATTTATGTTTATTCGTTTGACAGTCTGTGCGCGTCTGACACTGTAAATTTGTGATAAATAGATTTAGTATATTAGGAAAATATTATGATTAATAAAGATTAAAGAAAAAGGCTAAAGCCTGACTATAATTACCGAATACTACGTACTAAATCCAAAATTTTATAATCACTGACAGACTTTCTCTGTTTGGCTAGTATCAAATGTTTACATTTGCTAATATTGGGCACAATACTGTTTCTTTCAATCGTATAAACAAGACGCGTAGACGTATAGTAACAAGTAATTAAATCGGTGCAAAGCATATAAACATTTACAAGAAAGGACAAATCTAATGGCGTATTTTAAAAACATTACATATGTAGAAATGATGACTGAAAAGCTCATAATAAACATTTGTTATAAAACCGCGCTCGAGTGTGAAGAGACGGCATTGAATAACAACACGAGAGAGCACTGAGTAACGATTTGCTTGGTTTCTTGACTTGACTGTTGGTAAGAATGTTCTTGTAAATTCAAAGCAAAGAAAATAAACAAAAATTAGCAAGTATTTTGAACTTAATAATTCGCAAAATTTATGTTTTTAACTGTTACAGTAAACAAAATATCTCCACTGGAATGATGTAATTTGATACTTTCCCCACACCCCCTATGGCGCTAAATTTTGGACGAGGCACGTGACCAGCCCATACCAGGGTATTTCCTAAATACCCTGGGAACGAGGTTGAGGGGGTCGTGGTTCGCCCATGTTGGACTTTACTCAAGGGGTAGTAGATCCCCGAGATGGGCATCCTAAATGTCCAAGGGGTAGTAGATCCCCGTGATGGTCATTGTTTACTTTAATGTCCAAGGGGTGGTAGATCCCCGTGATGGTCACTGTATAATACATTGATTTGTGTGAGTCTATGGGCTTGAGGGTGACCTTTGGGAGCACTCCATCCCCACAAATACACAGCATGTGTATTCCCCATAGACGAAAAAACCCAACTCCCACCACAATATAGAATAAATCGTATAGAAGACAGCTAATTCTGACAGATGATCTTTGTGCTTTCGAAGACATATCGTCTATATTTCTCTTTCGACAAACTTTAAATAATTAATGTAATATTGTGCAGTGATACAAGCATTCAGGGGCGTAGGAAGCTTCTCAGACTTGAGGGGCACTTTTCGAAAAAAAGGGCATCTAAAATTTTCCCCGGAAATGTTGGCGAAGGGCATTTGGCAAAACTTGGAGGGCCTGGCCCCCCGTTCCTACGCCCCTACAAGCATTTGTGGGATAAATTCAGTTATTTGGAAGAACTCATTAAAACTTTCAAAGTTTATTTGCCCCTCCAACGAGTCTTCTTATCTAAAGCCCCGTTTACACTGCCCTCAATTTTTGGCACCGTACCACTTTTTTGGTTCTTGGACTACCTAAATAGATAGTCCAAGAACCAAAAAAGTGGTACGGGTACTAATTTTATCCCTGCCGTACCAAAAATTGAGCGTAGTGTAAACGGGGCTAAAACC